TTAAACTACTCAATTCAATCGTGACAAGCGCACTCAAAATTCGAAAATTATCGGAACAACGCCAATTTGCGACAATTTCTTAGTTTTGATACCACTAGCAAACAAGAGCGCGTTGTCCGATTTGAAGGGATATAATGGAAGAAACAAATATTTTGCGCATTCACGAAATGTGGGTTACAGAAATTTAAAGTACTGAATTTCGCACTCTTCTTGCATTTATGAAATACAAGTAGAAGCAGTCACCCTCAATAGAATAACCAGATTCTATTGTTAGTTTTTTTTGTCGCAGCGAGAAGAGTAAAATGTGAAATATTTTAGAAATACAATCTTGAACATGGCTACGACGATACCGTGCGCAACCCTAACGCAGAAGAAAGACGGCGAAGCATTAGTCTAGATCCTGATCAATGGTTTGAGCAAGTCACAGGACAGGGAGATAAGTAAGGAGTTTCATTTTTAGTAGAAGAGTACTGTTGGCTAACTGAGAAGTGCGTGTAACATACAAAATACATTATGTCCTGAAAATGGAGCACAAGCTGTTTGGCATTGAAAACATCTGGCAGAACCTCAGCGTTATAAATCCAACAGTGATCTCCTTAGCGGTTTCTTGTAGCAATTTCGAGGATTCGCAATAGTAGGAGAAAATACTTTTACGAGGAAAGGTAATGACAGCCAGCACTTCGAAAGACAGTTCTAATAAAACGTAAAAGTAATAATTAATGATTGTTCAAATATGGATTAGGAACATTATCTGAATGGAAAGCTAACTTTTTAAAAGTTTTCAAAGTAATAAAAAGCCTCCTCACCTCTTATAGCTCTCCAGAGCCAGAGCAGAGCCGTATTTTGAAAAACGTTCTGACATGTTGAAACAAAAGTGATTTATCTTTTTCGAATGTCTGAGCCACAAAAACGCTTTCGTATCTTATTATCGTCAACCAATGCGTCAATTTTATGGGTGTCTGATTCTATTTTTCCGTGAATCTTTGATTTTTCGAGCTTTTCCTCTATAGATAAGAGTCGGGGCTGTTTTGTGAGATTATGTGAAACGATATCATTCCAGTACGTTTCCTTTGACATTGTACAAGAGCACGTTTACTCAAGTTTGGGGCAAACTTTCCCATGAATTTTTCAAAAGTTACCCCACAAGAAAGAATTGCGCATATTGAAAAAATTCAAAATAAACACACAAATATCATGTCAAAGCGATATGTCTATTGTTTCAGATTTCAGCGTCTTAGGCGTGGCATACACCTTTATAAGGATGATTGTCAAGCACTGGATCATTTGACTATGTTAATTTTAT